GGCGTTACTCCGGTTGTTACTCCCATGGTTGCTTCTCATGTAAAAGCCGAACCTTCTAGCAGCAGAAAAGAGATGAAAAGAGTTGTAATTGAGGTCCCTAAAGGCGAAAATTTATTGAGAAAATCTTGTCAAGCTGATATGTGGTTGAAGCCACTACTAGTCCCCGTGGAGAAGAAGAAGTTAGAAAGGCATAGCTCATTGACTTTAATAAATGACATTGTTCATTCTTCTTTCAAGGTATAAGTTTAATTACACTTCCTTCCTTCTTTTTCCTCATTCGTAACTCTTCCTCCTCCCCTACCTTTTTTGTAGATTAATTTGATTGGCACAAAGCTTATGAAAAGAGTTTCTCAGACTGACCAGCAAATTGTTGAATTGCGTACCAAGGGTGACAACTGGAAAGAACAATTCGAAGGTCTTCAACTAGAAAAGGAAGTTCTTGTATAAAAGAAGAATGCTTTGGAGCAACAAATGAGGATGGTTTCCGCTGAGTTAGCGATTGAAAAAGCTTTTTCTAGTCAGGTCGGGAAGGATAAGGATAGACTGGAATCCTCTTTTATTGAACAACTCTCCAAGATTACTGAAGAGATAAGGGGTTTGAAAGAAATCCTTAATCAAAAAAAGGTTTACGTGAGTGAATTGGTTCAGACACTTACCCAAGCTCAGGAAGATCTCCGTACATCTGCAGACAAAATTCAGTTCTTGGAAAGTTCTCTTGCCCCGTTGAAGACAGCTTATGAAGCCTCAGAAGCAGAAAAAAAGAGCTGAGAGCTGAGATTGATCAATAGGGAAAGGATTACGAGGCCCTCGAGGATAATCATCGTTGGATGTTAGCTGGGCTTTGCTAAACACTCGCCTCGAGACTTTAATTGAAGCCAACCAGGAGGGTTTTGACCTTACTGCTGAGATTGCTAGCGCTAAAGAAGCAATTGATAAAACTCAGCAACGTCAAAGCTTTTCCTCACCCGAAAATGAAGGTTCCAAGGGTGATAGAGATTGACTTGCTCCTGGCGGAGCTGATGATCAAGCCTCTTCTTCGCAAGTTGATCCTTCTTCTCCCGTCGATGATGCTCCTTAGCTTTTGCCTTTCCCTTACTTTTTCGTTGGCTTTTATTTGGAAATCCCTTATGCTGTTTTTCCCTTAATTTAAACTCTTTCTGGAAGATTTGTTTTTGGCTACCCCTTTCTTCTTGGGGTTTGATGACAAATTATCACACTAGTTAATCAAGGTAAATATATAAATGTTTCGGCTGCTTTTGCCGCATATTACACTCTTTGCCTTTTTAATATTTGAGCTTTTTCTTGCAATTAAAAATGCCTTGACAGCCTGTGACTTTGATAAATACGGATTTTTATAAAAGAGGACCCTTTTATGTTAACGACACTGATGAAGATGGCATCTCATCTTCATATTGGTGCAAGTATATGAAACATGAACTAGACATGAAAAGAGAAATAATTTGAAGAAGTTTTATGTTTTGAACTTTCAAATAGATTTCGTACATCATTCTCATAGTTGTTCATACAACACATTCATAACAGTTGAATTTGCACAGATTTACAAATATAAATTTGGGTCTATTATCCCGTAACTAAATTCTTGGCCTTAACCTAAAACTCGTGGGAATATGGAATATCTTGCATCCTTTTCGCGAGTTCAAACTCCTTTGAAAAATTTTCAAGGTTTCCTTAAGGTTTTTGATTCAGGCTGAATGCTGAACTATGCCTCCTTGGTTTTTTGCTTCCTTCTATATGCATAGTCCCTCTAGTGTTGGAGCTTTGAAGTATGAAATCTCGAACACTGGATCACTCTTTTCTTTTGGTCCATTTACTGAAAAGGAAAATACAAACGGGACTCGGAGATAATTATTTAGATGATGACTACATAACTCTTTTTCCATCAGAAAGGTTGCAACCTAGACCGGGAATAATTCAATATTCCACGTGCCTTTCGGGTTTAATATCATCATTTGATACAGGCCATCTTTTTACCTATCATCTAAAATGGTTAGTAAAAATCAAAAGAACAAAATAAAATTGAACTTGCGTGATACTTGACCGTGGGTACTTTCCTCGTCTAGAAGTAACACTTCTTCAAATGAACTGCATTCCAGTTCGATTATAGCATCTTGCCATCCATGGTTTCCAACTTGTATGCCCCTTTTTCCGGCGATGCCTCGAACTCTATACGGGCCTTCCCAATTTGGGCTCAACTTTCCTGCATTGGACTTTTTTGTTGACCGGAACACCTTTTTGAAAACGAAGTTCCCAATCTTGAAGTATCTCAAATTAGCCTTCCTGTTGTAATATTGTTCAATCATCTGTTTTTGAGCTGCCATTCGAATTAATATTGCTTCTCTCCTTTCTTCTAATAACTCCAAATTTACTCGCATCTCCTCCTTATTTTCTTCCTCAGTAGCATGTTTGTATCTCATACTTGGTTTACATATCTCATGTACTTCTCTCACCACATAATCCGTTTGTGATGAACCGAGGCACCGTGCTAAAGGTCCGCCAAACTTCTTTCGATATAATTTTTTGCGAATTAAGCAATACCAAGCGGCTTTTTGTCAAAGCAGTTGTGACTTCTCCTTGTCCTCGGGCAAGATACCATACTGCAAAAATTTCACAAATTTGTTTCTCCAATCCTAAGTTAGATTATTAAAATTTACCTCACTCTTGTCTTGGTCGAGTACCGAATGAAGCAAATGTATCACGATAGCATTTTCTACATTTGTTACATCTACGACAGGTGCAATTTTTGCCAACACATCTGCTTCTGCATTCTCTTCCTCGGGTATTTGCATGGCCTTCCATATCTAAAATTGTCTAATCAATTCTCGTACCTTTTTCAGGTATTGATGCATTCGCGTTTCTCTTGTCACGTAAGTCCCCTGCATCTGGTTAACCACCAACTGCGAGTAACTTTTGATCTCAATTTATTCTATACCATGTTCTCGTGCCAATTCCAAACCTGCAATCACAGCTTCGTACTCTACCTCATTGTTAGTAATTGGATAACATTTTATTACTTGTCTTATGACTTCCCCTGAAGGTGGAATCAGAATAATTCCTAAACCTGCTCCTTTAACTTTTGAAGAACCATCGGTAAATAGGATCCAAGTCCCCGGATTAGCTCCGGTAAACACCTGTAGTTCCTTTTCTGCTTCAGGAACTAAATTCGTGCTAAAATCCGCTACAAAATCTGCTAAAACCTGCAATTTTATTACAGTTATAGGCTGATATATGATATCATACTGACTAAGTTCTATTGCCCATTTTGCTATTGTACTTGATAATTCCTGTTTATGCAGTATATTCCTCAGGGGGGAAAGCAATTATCACAGCAATAGGATGACATTAAAAATAAGGTCTTAACTTCCTAGATGCCATAATTAATGCTAAAGCAAGCTTTTTCAAGTATGGATACCGTGTCTCAGCATCTAATAAAGATGTACTAACATAATAAATTGAGTATTGTTTACCGTTATCCTCTTGGACCAATACCGCATTTACTGCCACTCCTTTCACCGTTTCTAGGTTTGGCTACCAAAGGCAAATTTGATAGATACGATTTTAGGTCCTTGAGGGTTTGTTGGCACTCATCAGTCCATTCAAACTAATTCTGTTTTTACAATACTGAAAAGAATTTAAAACTCGTCTCTAACGATTTTGATATAAACCTCCCCAGGGCTACTATCATGCCTGTTAATCTCTGCACTTCTTTTTTGCTAGTGAGTATATCTAGTATTTCTTCGATAGCTTTGACTTGCGCAGGATTCACTTCAATATCCATGTTAGAAACAAGAAAGCCAAAAAACTTACCTGAATCCATGCCAAAAGAATATTTTTTTCTCATTTAGCTTCATATTATATTTGCGGAGAATCTCAAACGTGTCAGACAAGTGTTGAAAATGATCTCCCACCTGTGATGATTTGATTAACATATCGTCAATGTAGACTTCCATTATTTTTCTCAAATGTTCTTGAAACATTTTAGTCACCAATCTTTGATGTGTGGCTCCAGCATTTTTCAAGCCAAATGGCATGACTTTATAACAATAAGTCCCCCTGTCTGTGATAAACGAAGGTTTTTCTTCATCTAGAGGGTCCATTTTTATTTGATTATATCCTGAGTATGCATCTAAAACACTCAAAAGTTCATGTTCTGTGATAGAATCAATTAGTTGATCTATATGCGGTAAAGGAAATGAATCTTTAGGATAAGCCTTATTCAAATCAGTAGAATTTACACAAACTCGCCATTTTCCATTCTTTTTGGGAACTACCATGGTATTAGCTAACCAATCAGGGTACTTTACCTCTCGTATTGACCCAATTTTTAAAAGCTTTTGTACCTCATCATGGACCACTTGATTTTTGAAGGATCCTTGATTCCTTTTCTTCTGCTTGACAGGTGGGTATAATGGATCCTCATTTAGCTTGTGGGTCATCACCTCTGGTGATATACCTGTCATACTTGAGTGCGACCAAGAAAAGCAATCCGCGTTAGCTCGTATAAATTCAATTAACTTACCTTTTATTTCTGGGCTTAAATTTGCTATGATGTAAACTTTTCTGTCTGGCTAGTGTTCAAATGTTGTTACAGCTTCGAGCTCTTCAGTAGTTGTCTTAATATTTTCATTTTCTTCTGGCTCTTGAATAACATCGGGTCTCGAATCATTATCAGTCTATCCCGGTATGTCTTCAATTGAGGTCTTTGTAGCAACGTCCTCAATGAATTCTGTAGTTGCTATTTTGGGTCTACATCATTGGTTATTTTGCTTGCAATCACCCTTGAGTTGATACTTCTTGAAGATTGCTGATCTCCACGGATTTGATAACTTGATGTAATGTGGATGGGACGACATCTATATCGTGAATCCACGGTCTTCCCCGAATTATATTATAGGCCATGTCCGCATCTACCACATTAAAATTTGTATCCTTGACAACTCCTTCTGCAAATGTGGTGAGTACTACTTCCCATTTTGTGATAACGCTCGAATTATCAAACCCGGATAAGGACTGCGCCTTTGGTATCACCTTATCATTAGCTTGTATACCATACACCACCCTCAGTAAAATGATATTCTCTGAGCTACCTCGATCAATCAAAACTCGTTTTACGTTAGTGTCATGTACAAGTAAAGATATTACCAATGTATCGTTGTGAGAAATTATCAAGTCGTCTACATCCTCATCATCGAATGTTATACTGTCACCATCCAAGACCTGGAGAACTCGCTTTCCGTGAGTAACCATGATTTTTGACATCTTTTTTGCAGTTGTATATGTTACTCCATTAACCTCATCTCCCCCAGTTATTACGTTGACTGTTCTTTGTGGTGATGGAGGTTTTTGGGGCTCTTGTTTATTCTTCATATATGATTGTCTTCCTTTCTCACTGAACAAATCAATAAGATAACCTTGCTTCAACAGTTGCTCGACTTCTCCTTGCAGAATTCTACAATCTGATGTTCTATGGCCATGATCGTTATGAAACTCGCACCAGAAATCTGAATTTCTTTTGCTTGGATCTGATCTCATTTCTTTAGGACACCGCACCTTATCTCTCATACCTCTTAGAACAGCTACTAACTCGGAGGTGCTGATATTAAAGATGTAATCTCCTATCCTCGCTTGTGTATTGGTATCATTGCCTTGGGCATCTCGTTCCTTTCTGAACCTAGATGAAGAACTCGTGTCTTTTTTCCTTGGTCTTGAGTCGAATCAAGTGTTTTCCTGTTTAGATCGAGAGTCTCGCCCTGCATGTCCCATGTACGGCTCGTACCTATTTTTACCGGATCGTTTTTCTGATTCTGCACGTCTCGATCGTGCTCTTTCATCGGCCCTTGGCTGTGCGACCGTATCTTCTTCTATCCGCAACTTCGTACTGTGCCTGTTGTACACATCGTTCCAAGTTATTGCTGGAAATTCTCGCAAACTTTCTTTTAGCCTTCTCGTGGCTTCTGAACCTTTCTCGTTCAAGTTGCTCGCGAATGCCATAGCCGTCCACTTATCAGGTACTCAAGGTAACATCATCCTCTCCCGCAAGAATCTGTCTACGAATTCTCTGAGCAATTATGTATTCCCCTGCTTAACCTTAAAGATGTCTCCCATCCTTTTCTCAACTTTTTGAGCTCCCGAATCTGCTCTATACGATCATTCTGCTCCTTCAACTATTTCTACAAAGTTAGTACTAAACTTTGTAAATTGGAATTATTTGGAGTACATGACCCTTCTTCATGGGATTCATTAGGATTTTCTCCACTTCCAGAATTATCAAGCCCTGAACGCGGGTTCTCCAGAGTTGTTGTGTTAACTGGTGGAGGAGTTTGCACTACATTAGGTAATCCACTAACAAAAGCTTGTAGCGCATTATTCACGTGCTCCGCAATCAATTGCTTTAGAGCGCCTTGCTCCACAGTTTGGTCGTTTCCCTGTTGATCGTCAGCACGAGAAGGGCACCTTATCGGCGAATTTCCACGTGAATGTTGAGGAGATCCCGTTGAAGAGCACCTTTGGTCGGTTACCTGATTGTTGTCGTTAACGATAGACATATTTGATTGTTAGAGATTGGAAAGTGAACATATTATTATATTCTCGGTAATTGAACCAATTTGTTTAACCAAAAATAGATTTCTCGGTCAAAGTCAATATTTAGAAGAAAGCGGGTTACTGATAACCAAGATTTACTTCACTTTCCCAACAATTTTAGGAAAAAATAGATCAAAGAATGGAAACGATCGATAAAGAAAAATAAGAGATGAACTAACAATCACTCCCCAAAATCAAGGTTTAAAACTTGAAGAGTAAAGCAAAGAATAATGATATGTATTTCAGTAATAATCGTTACTTACCCTTACAAATGGGATTTCTGCCATTATATAGGAGCATATAATTATAACGGCTCTCACATTTAATTTGGGCCCACTAATGACATTAATTGTATTGATTGCTCGTTACAGTAGGTAACCGTAACTGGCACATTTATAACTAAAGATTCCTTGTAACTGCTCCGATTCTCCTTCTTTATTTACATCTGGTTCATGTATCTTCCCTTCTTTCCAATCTTTATTCATTTCGTTTATGTTTCTTCCTTGACAACTGTCAGGCCCGGTTCTCTTCTCTACGTTGCCCCGTGAGTGTTTCTCTCGTGCCTTTCCTACATTCTTAATTCACCTAATTGAGAGTGCCACTTGTCGCTATATCGATGCTCTACACGTCATGCCCCGTCAGCTTACTGCTTGTCCACGTGTTATGTCTTTTTTCCACCAATACATTCTCATTAACTACTACTACTGGTGTATCAACTATTACTAATAAAATATATCCAAAAGAAAACAACTTATTTTCTTTTAAATCTCCAAGTTTGACTTGTTCCTAAAATAATTATTTATTGTTTGAACCAAGCAAAATTTAATTAATCAATTACATCCCGGCCAATCAAATGGGGTCTTGATTCACATTTAGCAAGTTACCAGCAGCAGTTAGCTGACCAAACTCCATAAAACAAGCTTATGCTCATTAGATGCTTTATACTTTCAACAAGAATTAGCACACAACTCTATACAAAACCAATGCACTTTTCACTATTTCAATATAGTTTGCTTGTATAGATTCAAATGATCTCCATTAATACTTCAACCAAAGATTGAGCCCAAATGTTGTTGAAAGGCATCTCCTTATAGTTTATATATAATAGCTTTAATAAGTTTGCAGCTTAAGAAATGACCACTATGTCACATGACATTTTTGGACACCCCATATGAAAAGGATCTTGTTTTTAGTAAAATAATCATTAATTAGAAGAGCCTTTTTTGGTGTAAGGAAGCTGACCATTAAAAGAGATCAAACTTAGTTTAAGATTATCTTAATTTTTAAGTACAATCTAAATCAGAAAGTTGCATATGGAAATGTGACTAACACCATCATCAAATCTTCAAGTACATGTTATTCAAGATACTATTAACTTTTCACTATATTTATTTAGTCTAAAATTTGTTAATTATTTTTCAAGGATTTATTACATTGGACGATTGCTTATAATTTACTACTGCCTTATTTCAATAAATTGGATATTCTGAGATTTAGTGTTAATTAAGTAGCAATTATATGAAGACATTCTTCTTACTCTAGTCTTAAGTCTTAGCCACTCTGCAATAACAGGTGTCTTCCCCTTAAGATAGAGCTGGCAATAGCATGGCCATTTCATTATTTTCACTATCACAATCGTACTATTCGGTCAAGTAGTAGGTAACTAAATTCAAATAAATATTTGTGTAGCCCATCATTGTATAATTAAAATAAAAATCGATATTCAGCCATCCAATTTTAATTAACCTAGCTAATTATTGTATAAACATGTTGTTGTCAGCAGTTCCTAATGTACCAATTAAGTGTAGTCTAGGTAGTTCTTCCATTTAGTAGGTACATTAAATATAAATGAGCAAATCAATGTTATAGATAGACGCATTTGACTTATGAACCTATGGCTCGAGGCATCTTATTGCAGGATGAATCTTGGGACATCACGTCAGGGCAGTCCGATACACGAAGCATCCCGCATCATTGAGAGAGTATCACTGACGGTGATTGTGAGATGGTCAAAATCATGTTTTCAAAAGTCTCGAGTTTAAACTCTGAGATTGAAAAATTATTTCGTAGCAAGCGTTCCATTCTTTTAATATATATGTTCACTATGAACTTACATTAATCGAGTTAATGAATTTCAGACATAGAGTACAAAAAACAATTGGTGCTAGAAACAATAACCTAATTAAGAAGAGGAGTAACTAGAAGAGGAAGAGAGAACAACTGTTTAAAATGAATCCCTGTGGAAGAGAGAACAACTGTGGTTGAGATGCTCTACTATTATTGGGGCACATGCTATGAACAGATAACTGCTGATTAAGAATCCCTTAACCACCCTTTCATTTTGATTTTTTAAATAAATGAGCATGATTAATCAATTAGTATTATAATTAGTGTAGGGAATATATATGCATGTCCATGTAAGCAAATGCCCATATTATGCTCCATATGAGCGTTATAAATATCGACTGGTTTTGTTCTTATTTTTTATTATTTTATTTAAATATAAGTATAAAGATGAATTTAATAAAGAGAGAGGATTGTGCATGTTCCTGCAACAGTTCTTTGCATCTCACCCTTTCTCATCATAAAGAAGGAACAGAGCTTTAAATGAAGTTGATCTTATTTTTTTTACAGATAACTTTTACATTAATGATTTGGTAAGGTTTCGTTAATTTTAATATTGAGTTGCTAACTCACATGACCACCTTCTGCCTAGGGCCACAGCTAGAGTGTCGACTATGAGTTCCGTCGAATCCAATAATTTTGATTAAAATTATGTATTTATTTTAGAAAGTTTAATGAATACGTACAAATTTTTAATTTAGAATCATGTAACTTAAAAGGATTCGACGCCTGAACTGATATGCTTGAAATTTTGACTCCACTTTCTGCCTTCGCCAAATTAGTAGCACTACTATCTGTGATCAGAGTAACTTTCATAGCACGTCTAATATAATAAATTAAAGTAACAACCTATCATAATCAATTTAATTGTATTGATAGCGTAAAATATTAAGTGGGAACTAGTTCTATAGCTGTTGTTGGTTTTAGAGAATTTGAATTGACACTACTATAGAAGAAAATAAAGGAAAGAAAAGGTACAAGGTAGTAGAATTTCCTTCTCATGATTTTGTATTACAGTTAAAAAAGGTAAGGGAAGAAAAAGAAAATTTCCCTTTTCCTATCTCTTGTGCTTGTCAATTAGAGAAAGAAGAAAGCACTTTCCTTCTTCACTCTCTTATTTCTGCCCAAACAATGACAATACAAAGAAAATAATGAAACAGAAATAGAGAGATAAGGATTAAGCATTAATTCTTTCCATTTACTTATTTATCTTCCCACCTTTTGTTTTTACTTACAGACAAAGCAATAAATGAGCAAAAAAATGAAGTATTTCAATATATATATTGACAAACTGAGATCTTTCAAGACTTCAAGTAGAAAGCTTATTTATTTTTCTATCTTGAAAAAGATAGCCTCAGAAAGTGTACAAATGCTGAGGGGCAAAATCAATCATAAGGATACATGTTCATTAATTCAAAACAAGACACAAGATAGATTTTTCAGATATTAAGATCCCATTATATATATTCATTGAATAATTCATGAATGGTCTTCTTCTCTTAAAGAAAAATAATGGTCTGCTATTTATTTTTGGAAACTTTTGGACACTTTAACTTCCAGACTTTGACACTTTCGGTGGACTTGTACACGTTTATTTTTGGCTATTTGATAAATTGAATTTTAAGCTAAGGTCTTATCCCTTTTATTCAATGAACTTGGATCTTCTTCTTTTTCACGTTCTTGCGTTGAGTCCTACATGCGCAAATATTAGATCCATGTAACAGATGAAACTCACTTAGCTAATGGAGATTTTTTCTTGTCAAAACATATGGGGTTAAAAGATTTAATAGGTAGTATAAAAATAGTAACAACAATAATGCCATAACCAATTATGGAAAAGGAGATGCTAAAGAGCTATGAAGCAATTATATTGAACACCTAGTTCTTTTTGTTCTCCACGTAAATACTAATGAAAGAAAAAACACGTTGAATCCCTGCCCTTGTAAAAAAATATATAAAGAAATAAAATCCGAAATTTGCACTTGTAATACAAAGTTTCTTGAATGTCCAACAAAGTATTGAAAATTAATTTTCTAGCACTTTTTAGTTAATGGGGTAAAGAGAAAAGTAGGGATAGAAAAAGGGTTAGAAGGACTCTTATGAAGAAATTAAAGTGGTCAATTCTTATTCGAATTTTTCTCTTCTTCTCAAACAATTACTACATGAACCATAAAAATTACTTTAGGGGATAATGGTACTTTTGGTCCCTTAGTACTTTAGGAAATGTTCTCTTCTTCTCAATCAAATGATGTAATGATATATAATTCGTTAAATTTGTGAAATTTCATAAGTAGAGGCATCCCAAAATTACATATTTCAATTATTTAAAAGTAAAATATACATAGCCAGATATCACAAGAATAAAATAAGAATTTGTTGACATGTAAGGGACTAAAAGTGCAAACTTTCCTTTACTTTGTTCTCCGATATTCTCGATAAATTTTCTTAACACGCATAGGAAACTCAAAATGAGTTTGTAGTTTTAATTAACGGTAAGTACTCAAAAAGAAAAGCCTAATAGAGGCAACTAATTACATTTACACATACTTTCATCATAGAACTAGATTGAGGTTCGATCCTTTTTTTCTATTTTTTTTTTTAGGATTTAAAATTTCATATTCTAATTTCCCTATTCCACTAGTTCATGGGGTCCACCGTTGTTGATTTTTTTTAAAGAAAAAGACAAAAATAAATAATAACTATTGCAGGGCTTTGCAAGTATTGGTTTGGTAAGCGATTATTCACATAGCTAATTTGGGCCAATCATTATGCAGCTAATTATTAAAGAGTTGATTAATAACAGCAAATAAGTTTTCTGATTGGCCCAACTAACACTCTTATTAATAGTTTCTAGTTGGAGTTATCAACCAATCACCACCACAAAAGAATAAAATTGAATCATTATTAAAGTCAACTGAAAAAAATAATTATTTTGTCGCACCTTCAATAAATAAAAACACATCGAACTGAATCTGTTTTATTAAGTTGTTAAAGTACTTCCTCTTTGAGTTATACACACTAGTGTTTAGTCACTTGATGCTAATAACTTGGATTCTCTATTTCTAACTAAGAGAATTAGTGGTAACTGTAATTTACCTTTAAAATGGAGCATTAGATTGATGTTTAACCCAATTCATTGTAAAAACAATTTTTTTCCCTAAACTGTTGTTAATCACAGATTGCATGTTGCTGAATTGATAGTAGTATATTCGTAACTCCCATATCATTAAAAATATAGTAAGGCGTAGAGCTGTTGTTTAATATATAGGGCGCAGTGGTTAGCTTATTTTTATGACACTTGACATATTCATCTATTTAAGAGAGGTTTCTTTCCTTTTTACTCTTTTTAAAATGGTTTTCTGGTAGTAATTGCAAATGAAGAATAGGTTACTTTTTTCCCTCGATAAATAGTGAGACTAACCTATCAGAGTTGCTTTAAGAGAAACTAATTTTCATATCACAAATGAAGATAAGGCGTGTAACAAGAATTAGATAAGGATCCAGACCTATCATTTATTACAATTTTAATGAAGTTTAAAACACAAAATTTATGCTCTCCAAAGTTATGAGTTCAATTTAATTAGGCGCCTCTAATCTACATTCTCCACCGTAGTCTTCTAGATAGCATTCAAAACGCCGCTGAAAAAGAAAATTTTAACAAAACAGCAATAAAAAGACTGCCACAGTCTGAAATGTGGTTGGGTTACTTCCCAACATCAAAAAATGGGGTCTATTACAAAACCCATATCCTTCCTCTGTATGCAGTATCTTCATCTGTCAATTATCTGACTCAGACTCTATCCTCCACAATTGCTGAAAACTATGCCATTTAATAAAACATTTTAGCCCATTGGACTTGCTTGTTATCCAAATACCATTACGTATAGTAGTTCCATTTGTTAATAACCTGCCTTTCTTTTATTAACAAGAACTAATTGGACAATAATGGTGAGGTAATTTCAAATGTTTACAATCGCAACACCACAATCTGAACTATTTACAACATCAACGATAATTGGTACCCTTAAGCCCCGAACTAAACTTGCAAGAAATCGAAACTATTATCAGCTAATTAGTTACGACAATCCCAAGCTAATTGAAATCAACTATATTAAATTCAACAATATTTGCGCTAATGGTAAGGTTCTGCAAAAATAATATTAAAGTATGGGAAATTGAAAGGTTGTAATTGGTATAACATCCCCGACTATTTCAGGATTCTCCCAATCTTCTGCACAGTTAATAGTACGGATTCAATTGTTGGCATTGGAAAAAGCCTCAGAACTGTGTGTGAAGAAACAAATCTTTCTTTCAAGTGTCAGACGAGCAAATGTGAGCTACACAACCTATTAAGTAGAACGAACTTCCACTATCCCAAGCACAAATCTTGTCCTTTATGTCAAACTATTACATGGACGTATTCAATTGCCAAGAAATCGGATCTTATTACCAACCATGCAATTTTCAACGAAAAGCCAAACCCAACTTAAAATAAAATTCTGCCATGTATAGTTGAGTTGGTTGGAGAAACCTCTCATCACCTCAGTGGTGACAAAACAATTTGGCCCATATTTCACTAATAATAATTATACTGTTTCAATAATGCAACCTACCTATCAAAGGAGAGCCATTGATATTATGACTTAACACATTCAAATAAAGGAAATACAAGCATCTAAGGATGTGGCCGAACGAACAATGAAGTAAAAATAAAAGATCATGGAATATCATAATTCAAATTTCTAACATCGGCAAAAGAACAGTTGAAGACTTTTTTTTTTCCTATCGGTATACAAAACAATGTGATGTTACATACACTAACGCCTTGTGAGTTACGTTGAAGGGTACATGGCCTTTCAAGACAAACACAATAATGCAGTGGCCTTTCTAAACAAACCATATATTTTGACGTGTGCTCCCTATACAATACCTGCAAAACTGTTTCTAGTAATTCAAAGCTACATCAACAAGGATTCGGGTGAAAGGTTACTTTCTACTTTTTATGACCTGTTTATTGATAATCCTGCTTATCGCCAATTAATGACCACATAGATGCAATGGTGAGATTAGAGATTAGAGAAGTCAGAAAACTAGGACCTGATGAAATGTGAGAGGGACACATTTATTCATACAGAGAAATAACAAGTACTTGAGTGCACACACATACCGGATCAAAATAACCACAAACTTGGTCTTGAGTACACACTTAAAGAAACTTCAACAAGCAATACACTTAACATACTAAATTACCTCTAGAAGAACTCTCAGTTCACCACACATTAGTTTGCAGACAAACTCCAATATCAAAGGGTCTTTTTAATAGACAAGATAAAGAGCTTAGACGACATTAATTACTCAAATATGAGAAACACCAATGGTAATTAGGTAAAGCATCTACCCATGCTGTGCTGTCCAGGACCAACAACCAGCCATTGTTAATGCTTTAAAAAGGATTCGAGTTTATGAGTCTCTTCACCCTTTCTCCGTTTCCTTTTATACCAGTACTGATGGATGGATAGCTTTAATCATGAGTAGATAGGCTAATTCCTGCTCCGGCATTTTTCCATAGCCCTTGGGGCTGCACATATAAATGCACAAAAGTTAGTGGCAATGTATCATGTTTCTGGAAGCAAACGTCAATCAAATCTTTAGATGCAGGAGTTGGCTATTATAAAGATTCAAGCAGTATCAAAAACTTTACTAGACTTGCATATTAACACATATTAACGAGTTTCTACCAAGTTTATCATCATCAGTCTGCACAAGAATCAGCTTATGAAAATGGATAACCGGGTAAACATTTGCGGAAATTTGATAGGAGCTTAAATACAGGCCTAGGAAACAAATTGCACTTCATAATGTTATCGATGCACTCTCCTTAGATGTACAATAGCCTATTGCTTTTGTCCTTTTGGTTGTGGGGGTTAATTAACCATTCCCCTTTATTCTCCATCTCACAACAGAAATGCAGAATGCCCTATAATTCCGAGCAACTTTCTTGAGATAGCTGGGGTGAGAACAACTCTAAACAAGCATTCCATAACCTCTAATTATTTCTTCTGTAATATCTTTTACATGTCATACAACCTAGGTAATTCTGTTTGAAAACATATTACTTCAACAAGGTTCGTGGATAATCAAACAGAACTTGAAATGTTGAAACCTGATAAATTTCTGTTTCACAGTTTGTATATTTCTACTTTACCACCAAGTGGCAAAATACAATACTAGAGATATGTACCCTGAGAACATAATGGGGAGAGATCAATGAGGAAAAGGTATTTCCTTTACGTTTTTCATAGTGTGGATGACGTAGACTAATAATACATAGTGTGTTCAATAAGAAGTGATACTCACCCAGGCCAATGGCATCTGAACCTTTCATGATTCTCAGCCTTTTACAGGTATCAATAAACATCCTGCAATATGCCAATTAGGAATTAAAAAACATCGCCACTATCAAATATACAAATTATCAAACAGAAATTACATTCAAAAAGATTCATTACAAATAGTACTATTGGTACTTTTATTTGGTTCAGGAGGCAACAGAATCAAGAAAACAATTTGTTCGGGTCAATCATTATTATAGTAGACTCACATACCTAACCTTGAAAAAGAACAAGAGAGGAGATAGAGCGAGAGAGGACTAAATCTCTGTTCACACATACTGAATAAAGTTACAGTCACACGTTGGCCATGGAGGCAAATCTAAATGAAGCTGTGGAAAACTTGCAGAATCATGTTCTGCATCATAAGATTATTCTTTTCCTGACTGTAAGATTAGAATGTTGTTTAACTGTTACAGTGTAAATTATAGAAAACAGAAATACTAATAATTGAACTTGTATGAAGCAAGGGATGAATGTCACATATTGATGATTAATTGGATTTTCTGAAAGTGGCGAGTAGGTCAATAGTATGTTGCACGACATCACAATAGAATTTGTTAAATCATACATGCTAGAAATAAGACAACAATTATCGATATAAGCATAGCAGATAATTCTCAGTCAACTAGCTTCACAGTCGCAAATTTCTAAAAAGAGGCAAACACACAACATGAGATGATAAAATTGACCACATAGTATCTATTTACAGATTCTTAATTGGTCAAATTGAAGTGGTGGAGGGACCTTGTTCCAGGTGCAAAACGGTTCAATTGCGTGGTTTGCTCCCAGTAAAAACTCATGAATATTTATAACTTTGGCCGCCTTCTCCCTGAACCCTGCTATAAGGTGGGGTTTCTCACTAAATTAGGAACTATTGCAGCAGTAGCAGCTGGACTTTCAGTTACAGGACTTATCTAACTTGCTTAAGATGACATCCATATAGTCTAAATAGTAGATACATTCCCAGACCTGGAGCAGTGTTGCATTTATTAGTTGCATTGAGTGACATGTATAGACTACATTCACACACTACATGTGTTCAATTCCTTTTTTTCCAAAGGAAAATGCAGACTACCAGGAAGTATTGGGAAAAAGTGTTGATATCCACAATATGGAACATTTCTTACAAAAAATATATATATGAACAAGCAAGAGCTTACTCCCAAGGGACATCACCGACAAGCATCCAGTCACCATCTTTATCCTCATAAGTGAGTACATATTCAGATCCATGAAGCAAATCCTTCAATTTGCTCTCACTTAACATCTCCTTCCCAGGAGCTCCATGAGATCCATATTGACCTGACATAACAGGGAAATAGCAGTAACTCGGACATTGCATATATCTTGGAAATAAATATTTTACGTTTTGAGCCAATCAAGCCAATCACTAAAAGATCGAACTAGTTAAGGCTTCACAATAGCTTACCAATAGTAAAACAGCTAAACATCTTCTCGAGAGCAGAAGAGAGCTCCTGGTATGCAGAATAGTTTCTGAGGTCCACTTTCCTCAAATAAGGAGCGCCGTCCATGCTGACCTTAATGAAAAGAGCTGGTGATCCAGCTTTTCCGTCCACCTCTTCATTGTTCTTTGAGGTAGAGGCTAATGTATTCTTTCTGAAAGATCGAATGGGTGGCCAACCAACAACCTGTGCCCTGAAATTAAGCAAAGATCACAGATTAGACACTTCCACAATCAAGTCCAGATATCTCACTTTGTTCTCTTAACAGGAAATACTCACTTGGTAGCGGGGGCACCGCTGCCTACACGGTTTGAAGCCCCATTCACAGCAGAAGTCCTCTCTGGAACTGTATTCTGATTAGTTGCCTCTTTCATTTTTGGTGGTTGAACACGTGAGGTCTCCTTAGTATCGCCTGCTTTCACACCTGAATTCGGCATAAATTTTCCCTGTAGAATAGATTTAGTAACTTCAGTTACAGCTTTACCAGAAAATCAGTATCCTTAGTAATGACTCAATTATTCACCTCTGAGAATCCATCCATAGCATCTGAAAATCCTCGTTTGTTGCCAGTAACAACTGTTTTCTGTGATACAGCCAAAGCACTATCTTTGGCAGGGTGCAAGGGAAAAAGCAGCTTCTCGTTCGAGGCCAAAGGGCAAGTCTCTATGCCCCTTTCGGGAGAGAGGGACCCAGGGAGCCCGAGCCTGAGCTCAGTTGCCTTGAGATTTAATCCACAGGCATTATTGTCCTCTGATGAGGTGGAAATTGTACAACTGTCCACCGACGAACAATCAGAAAGCCCCATATAGTTTCGCTCTTTAAGTTCTGATCCTTTCTTGCATATACTTCCTAAGGAGGCCGAAGAAGCCAGTAGAGTTACATTACTCTGGCCCTCCTCCTCCCTAACATCAAGGAGTGGTGGAGACATCACAATTCAAAATCACACTCCAATACTTTTGCACTGCTCATTTCAAGAAAACAAAATCATTACCTTACTCTCTTCAAAACAGAATATCAAGTTCAACGACTCAATTGACGGCTCAGACATAGAAGTAGTTTACAACAGTACAACACAAGGAGTGGTGGAGACATCACAATTCAAAATCACACTCCAATACTTTTGCACTGCTCATTTCAAGAAAACAAAATTATTACCTTACTCTCTTCAAAACAGAATATCAAGTTCAACGACTCAATTGACGGCTCACAAACATAGAAGTAGTTTACAACAGTACAACAAAACACAACCCCCCGTCCCCCCGTCCCCAAAAAAATGAAGTGTTCAAATGGGTTTGTACAGTAGGTGTTGAACAATGTACTTTAAACATGTCTGGACTTAAATGTTTTTTTTTTTTTTTTTTTTTTTGTGGATAAATAATTAGCGAGGTAACTTTAGCAAATATCACATTACAGTAGCAGCAAAAAAGAAAATTCCTCTTAAAGCAGCCCTTTCTTTCAGAAAATCACCACCAAAGAGAAAAAGAAAGATCCTACGCAAAACCACATAAGAGAGACGACAAAAGAATATTCTCCATTACAAAAAGGAAAAACATAAAATAGAAAAGAAAATCACGAAACAGAAAAAAAAAAAAAAATCCTTTACTTAACAACAAGTATATGAAGCTCAAACAGGAAATATAATTGATTTTAACCCACCAAATAAAAATTAAAGCTTCAGCAGCAGATCTACAAAATCATATGAAACAGAGTGCACATAGATAACATGCAAAGGAAAAGGGAAGCGAAAGTCAAAATTTCAAGAAGAAAAAACCAAGATTAGTAGTTAAAAAAATAAATAAATAAAGGACTGAAAATCTTCTAACCTGTAAACCAAGCTATTGAATTGATCTCTGAAGAAAAAACCCAAGAAGAAACAGAAGGAAGAAAGATAAAGCAGTAGCAGCTGAAGAAGAAGAAGAAAGAAGATGATGATGGTGGAGTAGTGAGGTTTTGCTTAGAGAGAGAAAGAGAAGAGAGAGAAAGAGAGAAAGAAAACTAAGGACCCTCCATTTTGGCAGACAGTAACAAAAGCTTATTTGCTGTCCTATGTGAAACCTCTATGCTTATTTTAAAATAAAATAACTTCCCTAAAAGAAAAATAAAAAGTAAAGAGTAAAAAACAAGGGGGTAAGGTTGTTCTTGGGGGGTGGGCAATGTGGGATAGGAAAAGGGAAGGATAAAAGAAAAAGACTTTTTGTGCTTTATTACTTCGGAGGTGTTTTGGTTTGAAGAGAAGATATACTGAGATTAACTGTTGGGATTAGTTTTATTAAGATTAATTATTAAAATTATTTTTTATTAATTATTTAGTATGTTGTATTAAATTTGAAATTATTAAATTTAATGCTTATTTTGGGATAATTTATCCTGGTTTACTATTCCATTATATGGCAGGTACAAATTATCTCGCTATTATTTTTCATTTTAATATAACTTATTCGAGGATTAGTAACCAAATAAGAAACAAGGTAATACTAAGCTTTATCCCGAAATTATTTTTACTTAAATTTTCATTAAGTGTGAAAAAGGTTAAACATAATTATACCTACTTATCTTTTTGGATGGTCTAAAAAGAGTTAAAGTCCCTTTGGATAATCTTAAAGATATACCAGGTGTCGAGAGAAAAAGAAAAGATCAAATGCATTGATTAAAGATAAACATGTATTTAAATGACATTTAGGTGTTTTTATGTAGGAACTAAAAAAAAGAAAATTTTTAGTAAGTTTTAGTGATAAAATTCCAAAATAAAATAATAACATCTCATGATTAGGTATTAGTTTAGCAATTTCTAATTTCTAACTTGCACGATTAATATAGTCAGATCATATTTTTTCAATTTGCATATCTAACTGATATTTTTATATGTTGAACAATCAACTATAGTTTCGAACAGAAATTTATTTTGTTAGATACAATATATTAAGAAAATTACCACTAAACGAGAAAAAACTATGCAATTTACTACTGTTAATTCTTTCAGTTTACATTTATACATAATTCTGTAATTTTTCAAAAGAATTTTGGGTTTCCAAACTTTTTATACAAAAGGATATTGTGACCTCTTAGAATTTTGCATTACTCCTTGAAGTTCGATTATGAAAGAAGCTGTATTTGTGGGTATAGTCAAGATAAACCTCATCTTCAACTCAAACAAAGTCACATAGAGAGTGGCTCTAGTCAACCTTTTATCCACAACTTCAAATATTAAAAAAAAAAAAAAAAAAAAAAAAAAAAAAAAGGAGTCAATCCTTTTTATTCATTTTCCTTTTTGGTTCTTTTTCTTTTTGGTTCTGAAAGCCAGCGAAAAGGTTAAAACAAACAAATTCCCCCTTATATTTTTTTTCAAGCCCGATATTTAAACTACAAACTCCCTTTTTATAATAATAGTATTACAACAAATTTATTAATCTCGATTGTTGTAAATTATTATACAGCCGATCATATTCACTATTTACTTTTTTTAGTCATATACATGAATTACGTATTAATTATACATATATAATACATATATTATACTTTCACCATCTATTTTTAGTTTAATCAATTGGGTGGACGATTATTTGGCTTAATTCTTTTATAAATTACCTCTCACATGCATAATTATTAAATTTAGTAGCTGATCTAGTTAGCATGTATCATATTGGTTCATATATTAAGAAATTAATAAAATACTTATAAATATTTAATAACGAACCTAAATATTATTATATTTCAGTTGAGATCGCTGTATGACAGTATAACTTATAAATTTTAAATTCTAAATATCTTTAATTAAATCACTTAGCCTATTAAAACTAGGACAGATAAATATAAATCACCTAAACTTTTCTATGAAGAATCAACAAAAAAAGAAAAAAGAAAAAAAGGAGTCCATGTACAGAACAGATACAATTGACCTGACCAAAGTACACACATAAACACATACTGACACACATGTGATGAAGATAGATCTACAATAGAAAAGATCAAGAGTAGAAAGGACAGAACCCCCCCTCCCCCTGAACCTCTTAGGTCAGTTTCATATTTCCAATTTTGTCTAATTATGGACCAAAAAATAAATATATTAGGAAACTTTACCCAAAATAGTTATCAATGATTCTATATTGTCCATTTCCACCTCCCAAATTTCACTTGAGATAAATTCCAATCCACCAAATGTCCTAATTTTTTTTAGCATTGTTTCATCCTTTCTTTTTCACCCTTCAGAAAACTTTATAACCATTTCTATGATAAATTCTATTGGCAAACGAAGTTGGAGGACAAACCATTTTCTGGAGGACTAGAGCCAAAAAAAGGAGCATAATAATTACTATGGTAGACAAAGAAAAGTAGGCCTTGCTTTGGCCAATCCAACAATTCAACCACTCCACTCATTACTCCTCTTTCTCTTAAAAAAATATTCCACCATTTCCATTTTATATATATCACATGTTTATTCTCTTAAACAGTCCAAAAATATATTTATTTAAACTAATTGTAAATTACAACACTTGTATGTATTTCTGAAATATACAAATTTTACATCAAAATATTTAAAAGCTAAGTCCTTCACACTAAAGTGTAAATAAATGATCTTTTGCGAACAATTAGTTATAATGAGGAAATAAAAATTATTTTATATTTGTCATCTTTCCATGCATTCCACCTTATATTCCTTCAACCAATTTTGCTTTTGTTCATTACCATTCATGTCATATTTAGCGTCTAAATGTCAAGGTATTCCTTTAGAAATAAAATACTAGAAAACAATTCGAACAAACTACAGAAATATTTGTTGGATTAAAAAAATCATAGTTTTGTGTATCATAAATACCCCTCCAATCACATGGGTGACAAAAATGGGACCCACGGGTAAAATGCCGCAAGATGCTTTGGCCCTAGCGCAGGCGTTCGGACAGTTCGGATGGCATATTAAAATTTTGGTTTGGATTTTCGATTTTCTGATCGAAGAAATGACAATTCAAATTCATTTCAAATAAGTTCGGATTGGATCGGATTTTTTAAATTTGGTTTTGGATTAATTGATTTGGATATTTTGAATTTTCGATTTTGAGCTTATAAGTTGAGATTTTTTTTTTTTTTTTTTTTTTTTTTTTTTTTTTTTTTTTTTACAAAAATGAATATCCAAATGAATTACTCAAGTTAAATTGACTAAAAAGTTTTTCATTCTCACCGCAATCATCCAAATAAATTATTCAAGTAATGAAATTATTATCCAAAAAATACAATAGAGACATTAATACAGCCGATAAGAAGTAGAAAAGAAATAGAAATAATGAAACTATGTCCAAATAGAAAGTATTCCCACAGTAACTTAGTAATTAATATTGAAAATATGAAATAATATCGAATTAATAGGGTATTGAACATGTATTACTATTGACATATGAATAATGGACTAAATATAAAGTATAAGAATTTTGAATTTTCGGATATCCAAAAATTCGAAGTACCAAATTCAAAATCCAATCCGAAATCCCAAAATTTTAAAAATTAAATCCAAGATCATATCCGTAATACGAAAATCCAAACCAAAAATTCAAAAAAATCGGATTTCGGTTTGGATTTCGGATTTGCCCAAACTATGCTCACCCTTATCAGGGGCGGCCCAAGGGTCAAGCCACTAAAACAAAGGCTTTAGGCCCCCAAATTTTGAGGGCCCCATTTTTTTTTCTACTCGTATTTGTATTGAGACCCCGACTAATCTAGATTCGTACCGCGTAAGACCTAGTAAAAGAGAGAACATATTTTAACAGGATTTTTTTTAACCACAGGACTCGAACCCAATATATTTAATTAAGGTAAGTTGGATCAAATACATCTCACAACAATCTTTAGTGGCATAGTCTAAATATATTGGGTATGTTAAAATAAAAAATAAAATATTTTATAAAAATTCAAGATAACTTTTAATTTAGTAGTGATGTAATCGTTTGAGCAAAAAAATGCAGAAAGAGAATCACTCCCCCTAAACCCTTGTCGCGAATATAAAACTTTTCATTATTTAAATTTTACGAGTGACATCATTAGTGAGGTATCTATATGAATTTGGTTCTATTATCTAAGATCAATAATATCTTAGGAGAGACTAAATTATTTATAAAAAAAACTATTAACAACTGATGTTAGGCCAAAATTCTATACTTTTAGCACATTACTCGCCTTATATTTTGTTGGTTTAAGTGAGTTATTGCGCGACAATTGCGCTAAATTGTGTTGTTCTATGTGTAAAAACATCGGAATGAATCATCGATGTTATGATAATTTTTTTTTTCCTTCTGAAAATCCCCAAATTAAAAATTGGCTTTAGGCCACCAATTTTCTTGGGCCACCCTTATTTGGCCCCAAGCCCCCAATCAGGGTAGTCCCCACCTCTAGAGGGTAGAATAGGAAATATACTTCCTAATATCTATTTTTTTCTTCAAGAAAAGCTGAAGAAGACCTAAAGTCGAAAAAATATCCATGAATTTGGGCAACTTTTATGGATTAATTGAAAACAATATTATCTACTTGTTTAAGGGTATTGTTGGACTTGAACGGTGAATCATTTATCTTATGCCTCAATTCATTGTAAGAGAAAAAAGTTACTTTGAGCTTATTATAACCGGGCAACTAACATCATAAGTTCATTAGCAAAATGAATTTGTTCTAATTTCGCAATTGCGGCCTGCATATAATTTTTTTGCCAATATTAATAAAGAATATGAAAAATATAAGCACAAGAGTACGTAAAAAGACTTTTCTTCTACTCAATTATAGTTGGAATTAAAATTTGCAACTACAGTTCCATCATTTACGATTTAAATAAAATATTTTGAATCAAGCGGCCATTCACTCCTTTTTCCGCAAAAGTTCACATGCCCGCTCCAACCAAAATAAATTAAAAGAACAATTTTCTTTTTATTAAACTTAAAGGAAAAAGATATAATTTTTAATCTTAAGTTTTATTCTTTTTTTTCAATGTTTAGCTTGTGTCAAGAGGGAGGAAGTGGTGTTTAAGCATAGACTTTAGGTGATAGGTATTGCTCAATTCTTAATTAGCCTTT